TCTTCTGCAAGAACAGTCAGTGTTCTTACTGCTGAGCCATCTCTCCAGACCCATGAATATCTTTTTTAAAAGAATAAAACCATACAAGGTAGATGCTATAATTAGTGAAATTCTACTACTCGAGTAATTGACATTTAGAGAAATAAAAGGAGTTGACTGTGGATTTTTTTTACTGATGATAGACTTCTCACTACACAAAAATACACATAAAATAATAAATATTTTTATTAGTTTTTATTTTATGTGTATGAATGTGTTTCCTGCATTTGTGTAAATATACCCATGTCATGCAATACCTGTGGAGGAGAGAAGAGGACATCAGATCCCGTGGAACAGGGGGGTGCTAGGAATCAAACCCGGGTCCTCTGCAAAAAATACACATACTTTTTAAGAGTTCAAATAGAAATTGATGTTCTCTAATAATGTTGTCATATAGCCATAAATAGAGATATACAGCTAAGTTTAACAACATATAAACAAAGATATATTTAGGGTTAGAATATATTTTCAAAATTTGGAAAAATACAGCTTTAATCTCTGGGAATATTTGTCATCTCTTGTACTGCTGTCCTGATTTATAAACTGCCTTAGCTAAAGACATGTCTTTTTGTGGAATTTGTTTATACAGGCAATCAAATGCCTCAATGAAAAGTCAGGTACTGTTTTAAGAGGAAAAACAGACAGTACAAGTTAAACAACAACAACAAAAAAGTAGCATACTGTTAATAGTAGACTTCTGTCTATATGATTCCCAAGCTAACTATCTCTCAATTTAAACAAATCTTCCTGGCCAGCAGCCTTCTGTGGACAATGACTGGACCAAACAGAGGGTAGACTTTTCCTTCTGCTGCACTTCACGCTCACCATAAAAGCTTATGAAGATCAACTTTCCCTCACCCAGCAGTGATCAACTGCCAATAGTTCCTGGGCTAGGGTTGGGGCCTGCTGCCCATTTCCTCAGTTCTGCGCTGGACTTTTGTCTGATTGAGTCATCATGGATCTTGTACATTCTATCCCCATTGTTGCAACTTCAGAAGAGCAAGTTTCCAACGGCTTGAAAGCCTCTGTTTCCTTATATTCATGCACCAATCCTGCCTCTTAAAATCTTTTAACCCCTTCTCCTGCAATGGTCCCTGAGCCATGTGTGGGTGAGATTTAGTATCAGAGTCATATCCAGAGGCATGCACTCTGTGGCCTTTTGTCCTCTAAAACTTAGCCAGTTGTGGCCTTCTGTTTGTATCAAACTTTGTTGTATGATGAAGCTTTACTCTTGAGAGTTGAGGGATGTAATAAGATTCTCTCTACCCCCTGTTCCACTATGTTCCATGATCCTTAGGTGTAGTGGTTCCATTGTAGATGTATCACATAGGGCTGGGCATCTCTCAGATATATATTCTCTGTGTGTAACCAGTTGTGGAACTCTGTAGTAACCTCTATCTGTTGCAAAAATAATCTTTGATGAGTGGTGTATGGTATACTTGTCTGTAGACATAAGGATCCATATTTAGCACACAATAAAAAATTTTGATGAACTTTCCCTGAAGGATATCTGGGTTCAAATGATGGTCCAAATAGGAATTAACATATATGACAAAATGCATGCAATCCAAAGCGGGGGTATGGGGGGTTCAGATGGGGGAGAAGGTCTAAATTTGATTAAGATCTATCATATGCAATATACAAAAAGTCAATTAAAAAACCCAGCATAGAATGGGGGATATGGACAGCAGGCCTCAATCCTACCCAAAGAACTATTATTTGCAAATGATTACTGTGGGGTAAGGGAGAGTAGATCTTCTTTAAGGGAGTGACTCTGGATAGGCTGTCTAGACTCCAATGGCTGAACAGACTTACACCAAGGGATATCTGGATACAACTGCTGGACTGGATAGGACTTAATGTATATGACAGAATACCTGAAATATGGGGCAGGGGACTATTGGGGAGAGGGAGGGGAGTCTATATTTGATTAAGATCTATTATATATAATGCACAAAAAACAATAAAAATTGGGGAAAATGTTTTTAAAAAGGCTTATCTCAATTGGCTTGACATACTAAATTTGGCTCTCTAAATTGCTATTTCAGATAGAACAGAACTCCAAAAGCCATTTGTATGTGTTCTTTTTGAAAAGAACATCATTCTTACATACCTCAATCCCATGCTAAGAGTAGGTTGGACTAGATGAATGGATACATAAAATATCCAGACATCATTGCCCCTGTCTTGGGGTCATAGCCACTCTCCTGCCACCCTACTACAGTGGCAAATGTTGAGTAGCGCAGGCAAAACAGCACTGAGATCCCATGACACAACTTTTAGAACAGCCAAAATCTGTAATACCAATAACAACAAACACTGGAAAGTGGAAGATCATTAACTGTTGGCAGGGAAGGAAAGGAGAATGCGCAATCATGCTGGAAAAGTTTCCATTTGTCTTAAAAATCAAACTTTTTTTTGTATTATACAGTAATTGTCATCCTTGGTATTTAGGAATCTAAAATAGTTGAAAACATCTCCACACAAGACTATTTTCATATAGATTTTTATAGCAACTTTATTAGTTGTCAAAATTTGTAAACAACAAATATATGTTTCAATACATGAATGGATGAAATGGTAAAATCCAGACAATGGAATATTATTCACTGCTAGAAATAAATATCAAGCCATAGAACATCATAAAGGAAACTTAAATGTCCATCATCAAATAAACCAAACTGAAAAGGTTATACAGTACATAAATGGTGTGCAGCAATTTCCTCTGAATTGAAGATTCCCCTCCAGGAGAGAGTGGGGAGCTCATGAGACTTGGGAGGTAAAGAAAATTTACCTGTCTGAGAAAGCTAAAACTTGTAAGGTCTTATTTCATAAATATTCCAGCTGTGTTCTCTTTTGGAAGGTTTTTGTCGCTATGTTAATAGAGTATTTCTCAGACTGCCCTTCCTAGCCAACTTTGTGTTAAAATATAGGAACTGCTACAAGGGAATCTTGCCATCACCTGCTTTCCATCCATGACCTCCCCAACAGTGTGGGCTTTGAGACCATTTTGTTAAGTCCCTAATGACCAGCTTCTTAAAAACCAGGAAAGGTTTATTGGTTGTATGTAGCTCACAATGCTATACTCAAGACTCAAATTTTATGTTTGTATCTTCTAAAATCACTCAACTGTCTTATGTGTGGTATTCCAAAGGCTTACATATGCTTTTTGCACTAAAAAACTCTGCAAATATATGCAGTTACATAATAGCTCAAGGATTAATTTATACCACATGAACAAAAATGATAATAAGCAAAAATTATTACATTACCTTCAAATGACTAAAATGATGTGTTGAGAGAAGAGATTAATTTGGCTTTGAAACTATTGAGAAGGAGGTAAAAGATTGGGTCTGTAGCTTAGGATCTTGTAGAGAGCTGCTTTGTATGCCTATCATCCTGGGACTCAGTTCCCAACACCAGAAAAAAATAAGATGGTAGCTGAATTGGACCTGGAAGTAAAGATAATTGTAAATGTAACTGGGATTAAAGATAACAGAAGTTGAGAAGGGGCATATAATGTAATAAAATGATAAGTGAGAAAGATGTTATCAAAAACCAGTAAGAGGTCCCAGAAGAGATAGTGACTAGTGAAAGAGAAATGTGAGACAGAATGGCAGCAAATAGAAGTTCAAAGTTATTTTCTATTTGGTTGTATAGTGCTTATAGGAGTTTGGAAATCATCAAATATTTGTGAGTATGGATAATGCATGATGAGAACAAGATTGCTTTTAGTCTGATATAAGTCCGGAGACTGAATGAAAGAGGAAGGAAACTAGAACCGAAAAGTAGGTAGAACACTGATTGATGCAGACTGTGAGTTGTGTTGTGTATAGGATGTGGTAGCAGCACTGATAGACATTCTCAGGGAGCTCTCAGCATGCTTAGACAGGCATTTTCCATTCAATAGCAGCATATGCTGCATTCTTAAATGCCGCTCCTCCATTCTCATGGGTGCCACTCCTTCATTCTCACGGGCCTTGAGGCTGCTCTTCCGCTCTCCCTGGGCTGAGGCCACTCTTCTGCTCACCCGGTGCTCTGCACAGGCTCCTATCAACGCCGCTTCTGCCTGGTCCCAGACCCCAGGGCTGGTGAGGAGACTGTGTCAGCGGAGCCGCATTCAGGCACAGGAGACCAGGTTCAGTGACACAGGTCTTGTTTATTGCAGGAAGGCACAAGCTTATATAGGGGTAGTGGTCCAATCACAGCACAGCAAGTAAGATAGCTTATTAGTATAACAGGTTTAGCATCCTATCACAGTACAGCAAGTAAGACACCTTATTACTATAACAGACAGCATCCTATTAGCATAACAGACTTAACGTCCTATCACAGAATAGCGGGTAGGATGCCTCATTAGCATACTGGGTTTCAGATTACAGAGCCTGGATTCCTGGAAACCAAATGACCCTGACTGTTGCAATATCTAAGTGTTGCAACTTGGAATTCCAAGGGTGGTGATTAGGGAGTGGTGAGCTCTAGGCATCAGTCTCATGATCTGCCAATGGGAGCAAATGTCACAAGGCATTCCTTGTGGCTCCAGCTGTCTGGCTGTTGCCTCGGGCCTGCTGTATGGCTGTCAATAAGACTTTCACCCTAGGCTCAAGCCTGTCTCCCACACTTAAAGGTGTAACAGTAGCAATTTTATTAGCTTTATGAGCAATGTCTTGTTTTCAACTGATTGGCATGTACTAATTGTACAGTTATCAATACACAATGCCGTAATCCATTTTGAACAAAGAGATAATTCAGTTTAGAACCTATTTTCAGATTTTAAAATATTTTAAAATCCTTCAGAGTTTTAGCTGTCTGAAAGGGCAAATTTATGAACCTGCTTTTTATGGGGGGGGAGTCTGGGTAGGAACCCATGTCACAGACCATTATTAATTTTTAATTTTAATTTTTAATTATTAATTTCATCCAACAAAAGTACATATCACCAGACTTTAAAAGTAAAAACTATCATTTCTCAGCCTTTTGCCTAAGATCAAGTATCTGTTCTTATCAGTTTAATACCTGATACGTCTTCTAGCTGAGGACAATATATTAAATGGATTTTTGGAACTAGAAGATGGAATAGGAGCTTGCTCCATCCACTCCACATATCAACCTGGTATTGCAGTATCTCCAGGAATAGTGCACCCCCTCTGGAAAAAAAATATAAATTAATGTACACATTATTCTTACTTTAGTACTATCACAAACATCTACTTTCATAAAATATAACCTTATTTTAAGACTACCATAATACAAACTAGGTAATGTTACATCAGAATTTTTGTACAAGATAATAAATGGATTATCTGACTTAAAGTCTAAGTTTTGGGTTAATATTTACTGTCTTAAGAGAAATATTAGTTTTGAATGTAGTGGTAACTCTCATTATCAAGAAAATCCTACATAAATAACTGACTGCAAAGAGTTGTTCCTGACTCTTTAGTGTATGCTCATAGTCTTATTATAATGGGTTTTGTGCTTATATTTATAAGTTTCTTATCATTGTGACAGTCACTTATGAAATAAGGTTTGTAATGTAAACCTCTCTAATCTAAATGTAACTGTGTGAAATTGAGGTTATTGATCAAAAACAGGAAAATGTCTGTTTCCTTGAAATTCCATTTAAGAGTAATAGGATGTGTGTCACTTATGAAACCTAGCCAGATTTCTGGGTAATGCTAAGTCACAATTTATGTAGAGCTACTTCATTCGATAAATAGGCTTCTTACAAGACAGACCTCCTAAACCTGCAACTGTAATTAGAAAAAAGGAGGCTGTTAACAGTAATTCCATCATTGTTGCTTATAGAATATCCAAGTTTTGTTTGTTTTGTTTTTAACGATGAGCAAGGCCAGAAGATATTTCTAATTTCAAGATGGAGAGAAAAGGAATTAAAAATGGTAAGAAATGAAGGCCATCACTCGTCTGCCTCACCCAAGATGTCAATAATCTGGGGTGGGTGTGTAGCCCAGTGGGCAGAATGCTTGCCTCACATATATGAAGCCCAGAGCTTGATCCCAAGTACCTTGTAAAATTGATGTGCACCTGGGATCCCAGCATTCCAGAGATGGAAGTAGGAGAATCAAAAGTTCAAAGTCATCCTCAGCTACATGAAAAGTTCAGCATCAGTCTAGAACACACGGCAGCCTGTCTCAAAACAAAACAAAAACAAAATTCTGCAATCTAAGAATATAAACATGGAAGCTGTAACTATTTTTTAAATCGACTACATTTTTACACATTATTCAGAGAGAATATATAGTAGGGGCTAGAGAGATGGCTCAGTGGTTAAGAGCACTGACTGCTCTTGCAGAGGACCCAGGTTCGATTCCCAGCACCCACATGGTGGCTATGAACCATCCTTAACTCCAGTTTCAGGGGGATCTGAAGCTCTCTTCTGACCTCCGCAGCATTGCACAACACGGGTGTACCCACATACATGCAGGCAATACACTCATACACATAAAATAAAAATAATAAGGTAAAATATTAAAAAAGAATATATAGTAATAAAACTTATAATAATGATGGTAGTTCAATAGGTAAATAAGTAGTGATAGCTACATTGATAGATAGGTAGACAGAAGAATGATAGATAGATACACAGACAGACAGAAGATGGATAAATAGATAGATAGATAGATAGATAGATAGATAGATAGACAGACCTACTGACAGACAGAAAAACAATAGTTGTTTTAGATATTTACTAGAGTCAAAATTAGTCAAAGACAAAAGTCAGTATTAAAGAAAGGTGAACAGAAAGGAAAACGTGAAATAATCAGTTGTTAACAACACTGTGTTACATTTGAATTGGAAGCATGAGAGAGATTAAAACTACATATAAAGGCAAAAGAAAACATCCTTTACCTTCCAGAAAAAAAAAAATGATTTTCATGTAAGTGGTTTCTTGTCCTCCTTTCCAAAAATGATATCCGAGAAGCAGAATTGTTGAGATATCTTATTCTGAAATCAGATAATTCAGATACTTATCTTGGTGATGCTCTGTTATAAAACAGTCATTTCTGGCCCAGTTTTTACAGTAGATAAATGAAATTCATTACACCATATTATATTACACTTAATACATATTGTCAGATATGTAGGAGGTATGTTCTTGAACTCCTTGGCAGGAAATTCCTGTACATTATCCATCTGCTCTTCTAGCTTGATTCTACGAAAAGCAGACCTTAATGCAGAGATGGTATTCCTGAATCTTTGCCTTCTTCTCTCTCAAAAGAAACATTAAACATTTGTTTACAATTTTAGCAGCAACTTCTAATGTTCCTGAGTGACCCACATGCACTTGGTTACCCCTATTATTTGTAACTTGGCCCTGTAAGAAAGCCTAACATCATTTTTAGCATATACACCTCCACGAGACTTTGTGTTTGCATTTTGCAATGAAGTATTCTTGAGACACTGAAGTGGCGTCTGTGGACTAATGGAAATCTATTACATGTGCAGTGCTAGAGAAGGCCACAGCAGGATAAAAAAGTGCCCAAATGTGTTCAGTGCAGGGCCAAAAAAAGGTTTACATTACAGAATCTTAACAGACCTTCTTTGAAACACCTTGTGTTGATCATTCCATGTTTCTAATGAGTTATTAAATTCAGAATGAATCACCTAAAATGTCCTATGTTACCTTAAACTGCACTGGAGCTAGAGGTCTAATTCACAATAGTTTTAAATAAGTAGGCAAAATGACAAGAAAAACATGTGTACAACATAGTATAATCTTTCATTTAAATGTTTAATTGTATTTATGTCTTTATTTTTTCAGTCGTGTGTACATATGCTATGGTGTGCATGTGGAGAGGCAGTTCTCTCCTTCCACCGTGGGGGCTCTGGAGATCAAAGTTAGGTCATCAAGCTTGGTTGCAAGTGCCTGCCTTCCTGCTGAGTCATCTCACAACCAGTCTCCGTAATGTTTTTTACAATGAGGACTGTATCAGTCTGTACTATATCTTACAGCCATTTAATTTTTTAATATACTTCATAATTTAATCCTCAAAGGCATAGTTATAATAAAGAAATGCAGCTAGTAAAGGATCTAGCTAGGAACTCCCCTTACCACCTACTCCATAAAATGTCATTTTTGCCTACATATGCTTCATGCTTTTTCAACTTATCCCTACAATTTTTATTGACATGGATTCAGGATTCATTATACACAGCATTGTGTTTCATAAAGAAATTCTTTTTCAAATACCATGCTCTTTGACTGTATTTTCCATTTAAACCTCTGTAATCTCTTTCTCATTTCCTCCCCTAGTGCTCCCTCCCCTTTCTCCCTTCTACTAAGTCTCCTTCCTTCCCCTCATCTCTCTTCTGTTTGAATGTCTTTTCTATGGAGTTAGAGAGAGAAGGGAAGAATTCTATAACTGATAAATAAGAGAAAATATACATTGTGTCTTGCTTAATTTGCTTAATGTGATGATGTACAATTGCATTCATTTTCCAGAAAGTAATATGATTTTATTTTTGTTTATGGCTGAATAAAATCCCACTATGCATAAATATCACATTTTCTTTATTCTTCTATCTGCCTATGAACAATAAGCTGGTCCCATAATTTAGCTATTATGCAAAGAGTGCTGCAATAAACATGTATGTGCAAGAATTTCTGTGGTATTTTGACCTAGTCTTTTGGCTATATACCCAGAAGTGGTTGAGCTAGGTCATATGGCAGTTCTAATTTTAGTTTTTTTGAGGAAATTCAATACTGATTTTCACAATGACTGGAAGAATTTGTGTTCTCACCAGCTGTGCACAAGCATTCATTTTCCCACATCCTAACCAGAATTTGTTATTGCTTTTTAATGATGGTCATTCTAACTGGGGTGAGAGGAAATCTCAGTGCAGTGTTCATTCCCATTTCTCTGATGGCTAAGGATGGTGAGCACTTTTTCAAATGTCATTGACTACCAATACTTAATCTTTCAAAAACTGTTCACTTCATTAGCTCATTTATTGATTAGTCATTTGTTTTGGGTGTTTTGTTTTTTGAGTTCTTCATATATTATAAATACTAATCCTCTGCCAGATATGTAGTTAGCAAAGCTTGTTCCCCAGTCTGTAGGCTTTCTCTTTGCTTTGTTGTACAGAAGCTTTTTAATATCATGCAATCTCACTTGCCATTTATTGGTATTCATTCCTGAAATATTGGAGTCCTTTTCAGAAAGGCTTTGTCTATGTTGTATCTTGAAATGTTTTCCATGTGTTCTCCCTAACACTGTCAGAGTTCTGGTCTTATGTTCAGCTCTTTGATCCACTTTGAATTGATTTTTCTACAGAGTAAGAGTGAGGAATCTAGCTTCATTCTTCTATGTGTGGACATCAAATATCTGCAGTACCTTTTGTTAAAGAGATTGCATTTTTGCCAATCTATGTTTTTAAAAAAATTTAATTAAATTTTTGAGATTTTCATACAATATAGTTTATGATATTTAGGTCCTCTCCTCCATCCATGCCTCCTTACTGCCCCCCACTCAATTTAAGGTACTATATTACATATAGAATGAGGTCTAGGGAATCTAATTTGTGTCCTCAAATATCCTTTAGTGTGGGTCAATCCATTGGAGACTGGTTAACCTACCAGGAGTCCCATCCTTGAAAGAGACTGTTTCTACCCATCTCAGCAGCCATCAGTCGCCAAAGTTCCTTTGGTTGGGTTGGGACTTTTTACCCACTCCCCCATATCTGTGCTGGGGTTTTGTTTGGCTTCAGCCTGTGTGGGACTTGTGCATGCTGTCACTGTTGCTGTGATTTCATATGAGTCATTGAACAGCTGCCTGGAAAACTGTTTCTTTGAATTTATCCACCACCTCTGACTTACAATCTTTCCACCTGCTCTTCTGCAATGATCCCTGAGCCTGTGGAGGCAGGAGTTTGATAAAAGTGTCTATTCAGTGATGAGAAGCCTACAACCTTTGCATGTTGGCCAATTGTAATTCTCTGTGTTAATCACCATCTGTTACATAAGGAAAGTTCTCTGGTGAGAGTTGAGAGATACATTAATGTGTAGGTATAACAAGTCATTAGAAGACAGTTGAATTCTGTACCTCTTTAGTAGAAAACAAGTACTAGGCTCTCCCCTATGTCCTGTGACCTGTCTAGCTTCAGTTTCCTAGCCTGATGTCAGTGTCAG